ATAGGGAATGGTAAGAAAGTTGTCGCCATTCTTTCGAATAGCCAATGGCGCTCTAGCCTAGGAATGCAAAACAAAATGCCGGCTAGAACAGACATTAAAAAAAAAAAAAAAAAAAAAACTGAGTCGCCGGGTACTCAGAAGGACTTGGCCATTGCTTTTTGTCGATCAGACCAAAGTTTGGGACTACTTGCAGAACAACGAGGGCCGAACCGTGGCATCATCGTGTGTGATGGCGGCACAAGATACATATGTAGTTTCAAAGGCCCGTCAGGGTGCATTCGACCGAGATCAAGGTCGGACGAGATACTACTCCGTGTATATGCATCTGATATGAGAGGGCGACTTATTCGACGACCCTGAGCCTGAGCAACAGCGCGTCGTTACTGCGTGCTTTGTTGTTGTTGTTGTTCGTCCTGAAGCCCATTCATGCACGTAGACCAAGCTGGGCCGGGTGAAACAAACCGATTGAAGGCCTCGGACACAGACATAGCTTCAACGTTTCAACTAGCAACGGACCGGTAGATAGATGGACAGCTCGACAGCGACGAGGCCAGAGCGGGAGGCCAAGCTTTGGCCATGGCACGGAAGGCCCCGGGCCCCAGAGATCCAGATGTCCCTTGAGAGATGCTAGAGCTTTCAAATCGTCTCTTTGACCTTTTCTCAACAAGGGATCCTTGGCTGGTCGTTAACAAGCTGTCCCTGGCCTCGTAATTCGTCGTTCGCGCCTCTCTTGTCTCTCTCCTCCCAACGCCCTGGCTCTCGGCTCTGCCCCAACCTCTGCCAAGGTCAGGACAACCACAACCAGCTTTTCAGTTTCGCGTTTCTGTGGGAAGAAGAAACTGAACCGACGGAAACTCGACCGCTGTCGGCCCCGGCCTATATCAACCAGGGATGTAGATCAGATCCACTGGCCATGCCTCTGAATGTCCAAAAGAAGAAGCCTCCGGGCTCGATGCATGTCGCTGAGAGCAGTCAAGTCGTAGCGACGGGGGCCTTGCCTTCGTTCTCCCCCTCTTTTCTGGCCCTCTCTCTCCAGTCTCTCTCCCTCTCCCTCTCTCCACCCCTCTCCGCTCCGCCCAGCCCGAGGCTGCTGGAACTCTTGGTTTCTGCAGCTCGTACGGAGTAGACATGGGCTCCAAGCCCGCGGAGCCTGTACCTGGTAAAGCACGTTTCCCCAAGGGCTGGGGATGTACCGATACGGGATATATGTCTACTATGTACTCCGTACGGGTGATACCAGCTTGTGCTACCAAACTAGCAGACAGCCGAGTTGCTGCAACTTTAATAATACCGACCAGTTGACCATGCTGCGCAGTAGTGAATGGCCGTGGTCATGCAAAGCTCCGCCTCAAATGCCCCTGCCTCGTCGTGTTTACAATACACCTTTGTGGTTCTAACCCGCGGGATTCCCTTCCGCCAAGTCAAAGCGGTTATGGATAGAAATGGTCCTGGGCTAGGCTTACTTGGTGAAAGGGATCTGTGCCTAGGGCATTGTTCGCCGCAAGGTGGCTTTCCGACTCCGTGCGTGCTGCAGGACTGCTGGGCTGGGCGCCGTCTTGGGGCCTACAGAATGAGCAGCGCGATTTTCCCTTCACGGACGTGTCGGGACGTGAATAGACAGACACTGCTTGAGCTGTTGACATGCCAGACTCCCCACGGGTCCCCCCAATCAAATTCGACGAAACGTTAATATGGAGTACGGAGTAAGTTTATCTGCTAGATCCAGCGACCTGCGGAGTACGGCCCCATGGCAGGCTTGGATCGCCTGCAATATTATCGACTGCCACTTTTAGATTTGTTTCAAGTCGCTGTTCTGAGTTGGTCCTTCAGTAGACTTGGTGTTTCGCTACCCGAGAATGCACGGTCTCCGGACATGAGGCTAAGCCTTGTCAAAAATATGAAGATCGATTTCGGGAAGTCTTTTGAGTTTCTTCTTCTTTGTCCAGGGCCTGTCTCGGCAACTAGACCACCTCGGCTGTCTCGAAATCAGGGAGTCTCGCTTCTGCTCTACCAGTATCCCACCAACTGGTGGAGAAACCCGAGATATTCCGTCCAAGAGCCCGCAGTACCCGAAGATATGCTCGCCCTCTCACAACACAAAGGAAAGGAAAGGTATGGAGTTGGATGGTGATATGTCATATCCCTGCAGTGTCCGCTGTGCTCTGTACCAATAACCGCACAGTGTTTGCATGTGGGCTATAGACATCTCTCTGTCTGATCTAGCAGGTACTTCGGCTTCGGTCAGGGCTGTTTCGGCTCGGTGGCTGCTATTGTTTCGTAGTTGCAGACTCGCATGTACTTGCGTAGTGTTAGCCATTCAGTAATTCGTTGCACATCTTCTTGATTTGATTTCGACGACAAACCGTAATAGCACGCACGGAGAGCGGGATATTCCATGCCTTCAGTGTGCTCGGTGCTTGGACTCGATTGCATCGGAAACGGACCTCCTGTTGATGCTGAGCAAACAGGCGTGCTTCACGACGAGAACACACAACATACTCCGAATACTTCTAGTACACGGCCCAGGGCCACAGTCGATGTAGGGTTACACGAGTCGTTCCGCTTCGCGCCACTCCACAGAACGGAACAAACCAGACAAATCAATATTTTTAGCTCCTTTGCATCAGCCGTCGTTTGCGCATACATACCTGCTGCGTATGGGCCACGCAACTTTTTGCCTGCCACTCGCTGGCTGGCCGGTTCAACTAAGAATAGGTCCACATTGCTGAGGAAAACAAGATTGGGAGTAACTTTGGCCTTGTTGAAGTTCCGTTTGCAGTTGTGCTGGAGCTTCTGCACACGTCAACTGGTCGTATTTGTTCTGCGCCAAGAAAATCGGACAATTATGCCCGTTTCTCCTGCCCAAAACAACACATGGAGGCGATACAACCTCCACATCCCCCCGCACGGTTTAAAGCAATCAACCTAGGTAGGTATGCATGGTCCTTATCGCATGAATGTGAGTTGTGAAGATCTGTCCTGTAATTAACCATTGCAACCCTGAGACAAATTCCCAGGCTGATAATATCTTGCAATGTCAAGTGATATCAGCAGCAAATTATGTCAATATGAATTCCGTTCTGCAGGCTTTCTGCTTGAGCTTTCTTGGCACGGCTCCATCGACTCATTTGCCGTGTAGTATCATGATGCACTTTACGGCGAATCCTACATGAATACCAAC